TCCCTTGGTCACTGTTAGTGTTTCCTAAACTCTTCAAAATATATGTATGTATTTACATATAAACATACATAGATGTAAATATACGTAAAACCATAATTTTAGTTGTTATTTGACATTAAATAATAGAATTTTTCTTTGAATAGAAAATTTTTTTTATTTTTTATTTTTTTTTGTGAATAATGAAAGCACGTGAAAGAAAGGGGAAAGAAGAAGAAAGGACGACGTTAGTTAACAGGTGAGTTAGTGTGCTGTAATGTCAACTACAAATTTTGTTATTTTATATATTACAAAGATCAGCGAAAAAAAGAAAGAACTTCAAGATGTTGCTGCTGCACTACCACTGAGTCACATCATCCGACATCCAATGCAGACATAGAACAGAGATTCACACAGATATATGCACTCAAATCGGCATACATTCACACAGTTACACACAAACACAGACATATATTCACACAGACAGACACACACAAACACGCAAGCAAACAAACAAGCAAACAGCAAGCAGCATCTTCATTAACTTGGGGCTTTTCGTTACGGCCCATTTGGTTGAACTCAGCCTCGGTTCCCCCCCCCCTTCCCCCCGTTCAACTTTACTCTTCCTTCTCATCGTCGTTGCTCCTCCTCATTTTATTGTTGTCATTTGATTTATTCATCCGGAAGATTTGTTACTGTTATTTATGTTATCCTAATGTTCATCACTTTTATATCGACATTATTGTCTGCCGAAAAGCTGCTCTTTGGTACTTGAACAGAGGCAAAGTTTAAATATAGAGAAAAAAAGAAAGAGAAACCATTAAATACCGCTGTTGCTGAACAAACTTTAAGATTTTTTTTTCTATAGATAAATATATAAACATACATTTACATACATACAAAATTACGTTATTTTACATATGTAAAATTGTTTCTTCACTTTTTTTTTTTTGATCAAATTCACAAAAAAAAATTGTAATGTACAGTTTATTATAAACAGAATGTTTGTTCATGATCCTATGAGTGTTACCTTGGCAAGTTTCTTTTTCTGCTACTTGCTTCTTTAACCAAATCACTTAGATTTCTGTTCTGTTTGTTTAAGTTTCTTTTTTTTTTCTGCTGTTATTGTTGTTGCTATTATATGCAGTAGAAGAGGTAAAGGGGCTAAGGAAAGCTGGTTTTTCTTTTGTCATATAGTTTTATATACAATTATTATACTTTTTTTTTGATATGTGTTAGTCATTGTTTAACTATATTTCGTAAGTGAATAATGTTTTTATTTCTACTTAACTTTCAGTTTTTCCTCATTTTTTTTCCCTATTCTTTGTTGCTATTTAAAAATCAATTTTACCTGTTATTTTGTTGTCACAAAATTACCTTTTTTTTATTGTACTTTATTTTCAGGTTCACTTTCATTTATCTAAAGTTTTCTTTTCCGGTTTATTAAAACTAAATATTGGTAGCAGTCGGTGAAGAAGTCTTTTATTTTTTTTTAGTTTTTTGACTAGAAAAAGTCTATGTGTGTGTGCTTTTTTTTTGATTATAAAAATATCTATTTATTTATCTATCTATCTGTCTATTTATCTATTTATCTATCTATCTGTCCATCTATCCAATAGAGCTGTTAAATTAATTGATGAGGTAGTTGTCAACTGCTGTTGCAATCTCTCCAGTTTTTTTTCTTTCTTTCTTCCACAAATTTTGGCTTCCCCATCTCCTCCTTCAAATACCTTCTCACTTTTTAACCACCTTGAATATCGAAGCAGTTGACACTTGTCGTTGCTGTTGGTGGCAAATGATGGCTGTGATGATGATGGTGATGGTGATGGTGTTAGTGGGTTTTTTTTTTTTTCGTTCAATTTTTTAGTTTGTCAATTCTATTTGCAGTTTTACTAACGACGTCAAATTGAAATGACGACTTTTTCTTTAACCTAATCAATCCAAAAGTGTATAGTACTCAACCGTTTCTACAAAACTTTTGCTTCGTTATTTTATTTCATTTTTTTTTTGTCTCATTTTTTTTTTGCGCTATTCTTACTTCTAATTGTATTTAGCGGTTTCAATTGCTGTTTTTTCTTTTATTAAAGGTTCTCTCGTTTTTTCTCTCTTTTGGTATTTTTTCAAGTTAATTTCTTTATTTCAGGAATAAGAGAAGGAATAAAAGACAGGAAACAACACATAACAGCAACAGCAACAGCAACAACAAACAACAACAATAACAACAGATCAGTTTAAATATTCCTCCATCGCTAAAGCGCTGTTATTAAAGGCTCAAAAAAAAGAGGTGGAATAAAAAGGAAAAAGAAAAGAAATCAGAAGCAGAAAAAAAAGAATTTAGAAGTATATTTGGTATGGTCTCACGCCGTAGGTCGTTCCACCAAAACGAATTTGATGTCAACGATGTTATACGACGTTTGGTATCGGTAAAATCGCATCAAAAAAATTTAGTGGTCAGTGAACATGAACTGAAAATTATTTGCAGTTTAGCGCATTCAATATTCCTTAGTCAACCAATGCTTCTGGAATTGGAAGCTCCACTAAAAATTGCAGGTAATTAAGCGTTAAATTTGTTCTATATAGTTTTTTTTGAACTTCAATTGATAGATTAGTAATATTGTTGTTGCTGTTGCTAAATTTTAAATGAAATCTAACTGTAGCAGTTTTTTGTGACTTTGATTCTTGAATTCTGTTGGTTTTATTGTTGCTTTTTTTTTTCTACTAATTGTGCAAACAAAAAGACAGTTTACGGAAAGTTCGTTAGTAAATGTAGGAAGGATAAGATGAAGGAGAAGAAGAAAACAAAGCGCTGCATATTTTTACATC